AGGGAGGGAGAGAGAGACACACGGATGTGAGAGAGGAGACACACCCATTGGTCGCCTCCTGCAGGCCTGACTGGTATCAGAGACTGAACCTGCAACCCAGGTACGTTCCCTTGACCCAGGAATCGAACCTGCGACCCTTCAGTTCATGGGCTGACCCTCTAACCACTGAGCCACACTGGCCAGGGCCCACGCACACGCTTGACAACTAGATAGAGAATTACGTCTTCTCTGAGAAGGGGACTATTTTTTCCAGCTTTGCTGAGATGTAATTGACATGCTACATTGTGTACGTTTGTTGATTTGATACATTTACATGTTGCACAATGGTTGCCACTGTGGCCTCAGCTAACACCTCGATCCCGCCATATAGTTACCGTTTCTGAGGATATTGAAGATCTACTCCCTTAGCAGCTCTCAAGTATACGGTATCATCTGTGGTCCCCACGCTGTTCATTACACCCCGGAACCCACTCATGGCTTAGCTGGAATTTCTGCCCCGTGGCCAACGCCCGCCCCTTCCCTTCCCTCACCGGCCGCCCGGCCGCGGCCCTGCTTCTGCGAGCTGGGCTCCTAAGGTTCCATGCACGAGCTCCTGCAGCATTTCCTCCCTCTGTCCGGCTCGGCCCACCAGGCACGAAGCCCCCAAGGTTCACCCACGTTGTTGCAAATAGCAGGATTATTTGCCCCAGGACCACAAGGGAATTTGACAGATTAAATCCATCACCCAGGCTTGATATTACCGAGTCCATGTTTTGCTTTTTGCATTTAAAGTGGGGTCTGGGTAGAGCCCAAAGGGGGGAAATGGGAGACTTCTGTAATAATGTCAACAATGAAAAAAGAGTGGTGCAGTGGCCCTGACGGTCGCTCCCTGGCTGGAGTGTTGCCTTGTGACCAAAAGGCTGTGGGTTCAATTCCCAGTCAGGCACATACCTCGGCCTCCAGTTCAATCACCCGTCCGGGGGGCTGTGGGAGGCAACCCATCGATGTCTCTCTCTCTCTCCTCTTACTTTCTCTCTAAAACTCAATAAACATATCCTCAAGTGAGGATGAAAATTTTAAAAAGTGGCGTCATGGGAGAAAATTACAGCCAATTCTGAGAAACCTCTGTTCACTTCTTGCCGGGCGTGAACAGGAGAAAAACTCGGACAACGTTCGGCCTCCCTGGCGCCCGCCCGACCGTCCACCATCGAGAGGCCCTCACAGGCCGCCTCTGGCTCTGAAACCCAGCGCTCCTGCCATTTTTAAACAATGATTGGTCTGCTCCCGGGCGCCTGTCCCTCTGCGCCTCCCAGGTCACCCGCAGGACTCACCGAGACACACAAGGGCGGGCGGAGACGGGGACATGGCTCTGCAGCGGGTCCTGAGCTCTGCGGCCCAGGAGGGAAGCCTGAGGGCTGAGCGGCCGGGTGGGAGGGGAGGAAGCAGCCCCCTCCCGCCGGCCCTTCCCCGCTGGGACTTATCGAGTGGAGCGGCTCCTCCGGACAATGACTTGCACACAAGCTCCAGGGAGCCTCACTTATCTCCAGCCGCCAGCGGTGCAGGGCCCCGTCCCACTGCCCCCGCCCGCCTCCCGCAGCCTCTGGGGTCCTGCAAATCAAAACCCCAAGGAGATACCATCCGGCACCTACCAGGGTGGCTGTCACCAACAAGCTAGGCGGTGACAAACGTCCCCAAGGATGCGGGGAGGTGGGAGCCCCAGCCCGGCTGGCCAGACGGTGAAATGGTGCAGCCGCTCCGGGAGCCAACCTGGAATCACCGGGGACCCAGCAGCTCCACTCCTGGGGTACACCCTGAAGAGGGAAAACAGCCTGAGCCCGGTCACCCCCCAACCACACTCGCCCCAACCGGGGATCAAACCCGACGCCGAGGCCTGGGCCCTGGGCGGGAGTGGGACCTGCACCCTTTGGTGCAGGCGATGCTGAACCAGCTGGGCCCCGCGGGCGGGGCAGGGGGGCTTCTCGGCTCCTCCGTGCCCACCGGCGGGAAGAGCCGGGGCTCGGGGAGCTTTCGGGGGAAGGGTAAAGGTTTCCCACCAGGCTGGGGCCATGGTGAAGAACTGCCAAGGCCACGGGGCGGGGCTCGGCCGAGAAGCGCGGACCAGGGTCCGGGCGACCGGGCTTCGATTCCCGCGCGGGCCACGCGCCGCGTTGCGGGCTCCTGGGTCCCCAGCAGGGCCGTGCGGGGGCAGCCGATCCACGGCGCTCTCGTCGTTGCTGTTTCTCTCCCTCCCTCTCCCTTCCTCTCTCTCTGAAATCAACTTAAGGAAAAAAAAAATTACCAAATCCGTACATAAATACCACGAAGAGCTTGGGAGACGGGAGATGGGGGTCCTCGCAGGCGGAGACGCCCAGGTCAGGACACCCCGCGGCTTCGGGCCCTTCCCGCGGGGCGGCGCATCCCTGGGGAGCAGGGAGGGTGCCGGCTCCTCCCGCAGGTCAGGGCTCCGCGCAGCTCCGCCGCCTGGCCCCCGACTCCCCCG